CCCCCAGCCCGGGCGTGGGGGCTGTGGCCGCGGTGCCGCCGGGGAAAGGTGGGACCCGCTGCGGGACTCGGGAGGGTGCGAGGCGCTGCCCTTCGCGGGAGCCCCCGGGCCCCACGATCCCCCGCGGGGCAGGGGAGCCCGCCCGGGGCGCTGGGGCCGCTCCGCGGGGCGAGCGGAGAGAGGGAGGTGATCACCACGCTGTCAGGACAGAGGGGGCTCCTGCCACTGTCCCCCAGCTTTGTCCCCCTCTGAGCTAAGAGGCTCTGGGTCCCCTTGGCCCTCAGACAGGACAGTGCAAGGTGTGGCTAACGGGATGCGAATGGATGCCCACGGCTCTGGATATGTCGAGAGAATGGAACCATAGGATACTTTTGATGGAGGCTCCCTCTGTTTCTAGTCCCCCTTGGAACTTGTGTTCCTGGGGTAGTTTGTGCCAGAGTGCTTTTAAGCAGTGGTTTTCATGGAGCAACTTCACAGAATTTTGAAAGAATTATGAAAGCTTTGGAACTGATGTGTCCAAGATTCAGTACTATAAAGTTATCTTGTTCCCCGTATCAACTCATGTGATCATTTTTACGTAAAAGATGAAGTGATGAAAATATGTCTTGACTGGTATAGATAACAGAGCTCCAAGAGTTGTTAGCAGGGGCGAAACATCACTGCCCTGTAGTGGTTGTGTTGTGCTCCCAGTGAACTGTTCACTTCAAGCTAATTCATTTGGTAAAAGTAAAATAATTACAGCGGGCGTATTCTGCAGACTCAGAAAGATCCTGTTTCTCGTCTGTTTCTAGCCTGAGCAGTGAAGAGAACTTTATCTGATGCTAGCTGTTAGTTAATATAGGGCCTAATTCTGCTAAGATTTTACATGAAAAAGTAGAAACAACTAATTCATGGGCAACTACTAGCAAGAAAGAACAAAAAATAGCTGAGGGTGCAAGAAGAATTGGCTGGTGGGCTGTAGTTCATGTGCTACCACCCTGCTGTTCTTAATGCTTAGGCAGCATTGAACCAGCACAACTTGGTGTTGAAGTTTTGCTCTGACCACGTCACCTTAGCAGAGGGTATGTGAGGCACTGCGTGTTTGTGAGTTCTTTCTGTCCAGCTCACAAGCTCTTGTCGTTTGATAATACCTTTACAGTTGGAGGAGGTGTTGTTGTGGAAGACCAGCCAGATGTGAGTGCAGTGTTATCTGCCTACAATCAGCAGGGGGATCCGACACTCTACGAGGAATACTACAGTGGATTAAAACACTTCATCGAGTGTTCCCTGGACTGTCATCGAGCTGAGCTATCCCAGCTGTTTTATCCTCTCTTTGTGCACATGTATTTGGAATTGGTTTACAATCAACACGAGAGTGAAGCAAAGTCTTTCTTTGAAAGGTAATTTATTTATTTTATATATTTGTTATGTAGTTTTGTTTTGTTGGTTTGATAAATCTATGAATGATAGTAGGCTAGCATTGCATATCTATGAATGTGTTATTTTCCTTCTCTAACGGCGAAGGGATTTGACTGAACTAGCAGTAATGTGGATTTCTGTAACAGTTCTTAAATTTTTTTCCATTCTCGTGTGTTAAAAATATATGTTAACTACATGCTTTTGAAGTATATAAATGCACACTTCGAACCTTTTAAATAATTGGCTCATGTGAATTTGAATAGGTAGATGCAAATCATTAAAAAAGAGGTGGTTCTTTCTTAGAGAAAGATTGCTGGGTCGTTTTTTTTAACACTAGGAAACTGCACCGAAATGCCAAAGTACTTCTCAAAGGATTAAGTGAGACATAGTGAGATAAAAAGAAAAAAAGAAAAAAAAAAAAAAAGGGTTAACCATAAGTGAATTACTTCAATCTTATTTGAAGATTTTTTTAGGCACAAACCATGACATTATCCATGAAATTAACAAGTTTTTATAGTGCTGTCACTATGTCTCACTTAATCCTTCGAGGAGAAATTAAAATTTGTTTGGGGTTTTTTGGGCATTCAGGGTAATTACTTCAACCCAAAAGAATAACTTTTTCCTTTAAATGCGGTCATAAAAATAGTTCTGTAAGTGCAGTTAAAATGTTCTTTACCACCAATATTTTATAACACCATTTGAGTAAAATGAAAAGCGTATTTTCTTGAGACTCATGTTGACTTTTAGATATTGCAAGTAGAGAGTAAGAAGCACCTGCCTGTTCATTGCAGATATACATATTCATGTAATTAATCAGCTCTGAGTACTAGCAGTCTTGTATAACCAAAAATGCCCTGTAGTTTCTGATTAAGGTTTCTGTAAATAAGCTCGTTAATGTAAATGTTCACTGCAGGTGGTAACCTTTTGCTCATATGAATTCTGTGAGCTTCCATTTGTTCTCCTAATCCTGTTTTTTAGCTACTGTTGGGTGCTTTTATTTTGTACTGTAAATCACTGCTCTAACCCTCTCCAGTATAAAATCTTATTTCAGCAGTAAACATTTTCTTAGTAACTTCTGAAAGCTCTTTAAATGTTTAATGTAACGTGTTCACTTAGGAGGTTTTCATAATAAACACTTCATCTTAAATTGTTACAATAGATTTCATGGAGATCAGGAGTGTTATTACCAGGATGACCTGCGCGTATTATCAAGCTTAACCAAAAAAGAACATATGAAAGGTAATGAGACCATGCTGGACTTCCGAACAAGCAAGTTTGTGCTGCGTATTTCCCGTGACTCCTACCAGCTCTTGAAGAGACATCTTCAGGAGAAGCAGAACAATCAGATCTGGAACATAGTTCAGGAGCATCTCTACATTGATATCTTCGATGGGATGCCTCGCAGTAAGCAGCAGATAGATGCTATGGTTGGAAGCCTGGCTGGGGAGGCAAAGCGAGAGGCCAATAAAGCAAAGGTAGGAGGCAATGGTTGTTGCACTCTTATTATTGAGCAATTTCAGAAGGTTGGGGAGACATTTTTCACTTTACTATAGACTGCCCATTGCTACTGGAGATTTTAACAGACAGCATGAATGAAGAGAAGGGTGCAATTAGGTGCTGACAGGAGTAGAGAGAGGGACCACTAGCTGGTCTCTGAAGAACCTGTCAAATCTCAGCGAGATATGGTTCAGCTGGTCTGAGCACAAGGTTAATTCCTGCATTATTCAGTGATTTTAAAATGAACACCTGGGTCTTTGACTTCTTCCCTTGTATGACCAAGGTAACTTTTAGTTACTGTCACTTGCTATTGTGACGACTGTGCAAGTCTAATATGCTTATAGTACTGCATAGACAAGGTATGTAAGCTGTAGGAACTTACAGAGCAGGAATCTTGCTCTAAGAATGTGCTAAGAGATGGTGGGAGAAATTGCAATTGTTCAGATGGTCTGTTCGATAAAGACAGCAGAACATATACATCATCAGATTGTTATAGGATAACCAGTAATGAATGCAGTAGTATTAAACATAATAGTTTTAAATAGGCAGCTCTATTATTTTACAATCTTGGACTACTGTATTGAAGAGTTTCCATTTCAAAAAAAAGCTTTTCTGTAGGAACAGCAAATATTGTTTTGTCTCATGTCTGTCATATTGCCTTCCAGGTTTTCTTTGGTTTACTTAAAGAGCCAGAGTTTGATGTGCCTTTGGATGATGAAGATGAAGAAGGGGAAAATGAAGAAGGAAAACCAAAGAAGAAAAAACCTAAAAAAGATAGTGCAGGATCTAAAAGTAAAAAACAAGACCCTAATGCTCCTCCCCAAAACAGGTAACAAGGAGGAGGAGGGTCTCATGGAGAGAGCTTATTAAATCTA